GCCAGGCCCCGCCCCCTCTGTATCCCTGGAGACGTTCTCGCGTCTGCCGTCCCAGCGCCGGCTCCAGCAGGTCTTGCAACCACGGCGGAAAGTGGGGTCCGCGCCGGAGCTCAGCACCTGCCACAGGTGGGGGACTGACTTCGGGCGGGACGGGAAACCAGGGTTGTCCCCCAGGGCCAGTCCACCGAGGTTCGTGAGCAGGGCAGGCCCGGGGCAGGACTTGCACAGCCCGCAGGGGAGGCGGGCCGTGGCTCCAGGCAGCGCCTTCCCTGACCCCCACGGACCTGCCCCGTCAGCCTGGGGGCTCGTCTCAAGCTTCCTCCAGCAGAGGCCCTCGCTCCCCAGTTCACCTGACCCTGTGAGGGCAGTGCAAAAATAAACAGACAGGAATTAATTATTAGGCCTGTTGAGACCTAGGTGGGAGCAGAAAGGGAACTGAGATGCCCTCGGTTTGGGTCAAGATCACTCGATCTCTCCTAAGTTTGAGAAATCAAATTGTGATCCCTAATGCCACATTTGTATTGGAATACAGGGTGGGGCAAAAGTAGTTGTGAGTAGGGGAAACAGAGTTTATTCTTGTATTATTATTAATTAATTATTATGTTATTTCCCATACAAACAACTGTAAGCCTACTTTTGCCCCACCCTGGAAGATATCAACCCCTATACGTATTCCAGGTGTATTGGCATTTCACTGAACTAGTAATTAATTTCTCCCATAGTGTCTATATTTTGTTTTTGTTTTGAAGTTCTTCTAAACACATAGTAGGTATTTGGTATTTGTGGTGTGAATAACTTATTCCATGATATGGGGGAGGGAGAGAAGTTATTCTGTTAACTAATTTTAAACGTTTTTTCATCTTTCCTTTGCAGTTATTCTTTAACTCCTGATTTTCAGGCTGAAGTCTGTAAGCCTGGAAAGACCTTCAGCAATAATCTCCAAATGTAAGTCAAGTGAATCATGGTCTGTCTTGAAACACTTTTACTGATTTATATTTTGACTTAACCATCAATAAATGTCAGTTGGTAGGAACTCTATTTTATTTAACAACTTACCTACCATGGAGTGCTAGCAATGTCCAAAAATTATGATACAGGGAATAAACATTTAGTGACTCTTTATGTGAATTTTAAAAATTCTTTTCAGGAGCATAATTATTTCTTCTGAAGTTTTCTTTAAACTTTCATACTAAGAGAGCTTGTGGTGACAGTGTGAGCAGTTCTAATTCTTATAAATTGTTTTGTTCATAGTAAAATCATATTTATTTTGAATTCTCTTGATGAAAAATAATAAATTTGCTTGTTGTGGATTATTGGTTTCATTTCTCACATCTCAGCTTTTACCCCAAAGTGATTGAATTCTGGAGACAGTGGTCAGCCTTAGACATAGTCACTCCCAAGTAGACTCTGTCTACATAAGCCTAG